AGAAAAGAAAAAAAAAAAAGAGGCCCCCACCCTCTCTGTCGAGTTACTGAGCTGGCACCCTCTCTTTACTTGTCTGACACTTGACATAGATTGAGTTTCATAAGTCAACCTTGTAATACAAACTATATTAACCAAAAAAAATTATAGAAAAAAATAAATAAATATTACACACACACACACACACACACTAACTATAAGTATACAAACAAACACCTTATCTCCAAATTTATTCAGTATAAAACCAGCTTCCTCTTCATCTGCTCCACTTTAACCTAACCTTCTCAATATAGTTTTTTTCACTTAAATTAATATACTATATTAATATATATATATATATATATATACATACATACATACATCCAGCTCATAGGATATTATCTTCAAGATTAAACCACAATTATATTAAATACCATAATAATAATGGATGAACTAATTAAGTTGACAGGAGGAAGTAGTACTGCTTATGAAGATGAGCTGGTGAAAGAACTCTTCGACGACGTTTCGCCGTTTTTCATGCAGCCACATCACCACTCACTAATAATGGAATCAAATTTTATTCCTTCAACATATTCTCAGATTCCGTCACCCGTTTATTCCGGTCCGACCGTTGAAGATATTGAAACCGCTTTATCGTACACAAACTACGGAATCCATAGCACTTTCCACCACGAAGCCGTATCAGAAGCCGACAGGTTCGACCTGAAAAATATTTTTTTACATGTTAAATACATATATATATATATATATATATATAGTATACAGTGTTGATATTAATGTATGTAATTAAGGTGACTGACTAATTAAGGTGACTAATTTTGTTTGTTGAATTGTGTGTGTGCAGGATGTTAATGGTGAATAATAATAATAATCAGAACAAGGTTAATGATTATTATAATAATAATAATAATAATGATCAGAGCAGTAAGTATACTTTGAGAATAAAGAGTTGTGGCAATAATGTAATGGCTGATGATGGATATAAGTGGAGGAAATATGGCCAGAAATCAATCAAGAATAGCCCTAATCCCAGGTTTAATAAATTCAACTCACTTATTTTTTTAAATTGCATTATTTTTAAATATATAGTTTTAACTAGCATGTAAAATATTTTATAATAATATGGGTAAATTACGACCAACCCCTGAGGTAATGTCAAATTACGAAAAGACCCCTCATGTTTGTATAATTATATATGCATATATAAATATATATATTTTTTTAAATTCTAATATTACTGTACGTACGCACGCAGAAGTTATTACAGATGCACAAACCCAAGATGCAGTGCGAAGAAGCAAGTCGAAAGATCCGTTGACGATTCCGACACACTCATCATCACATATGAAGGCCTCCACCTCCATTTTACTTACCCCTTTTTCTTCCTCAACAATCAGCAGCAAAATTACCCACCCGTAAAGAAACTAAAGGGCCCGCCCGTATTCGAATCCCAAATCGAAAACGGGTTTGGATCACCATTTACACCAAATCCGGATCCAGTTCAAACAACGGGCCCACCCGCCGAGGAAGTGTTAACTGGCCAGCCGGCCGAACAAGGGCTTCTAGAAGATATGGTCCCGTTGATGATAAGAAAGCCCGCGTTGATGATGGATTATAGTTATAAGTATAACCCGGCCTCTTCGAATAATTCGTCGTCTAATTCTGCTAATAATTCTCTCGACGAATCGCTTCCTTCTTCCCCCGCTTCGTTCGATTCGTTTCCTTGGTCTCCTACTTATTTGGGATATTAGTTCATTTCAATTTCATATTATATGTTATATGTCAATATATATAGAATATTGTCGTACCTAGGTTATATATACATGTTACATACTTGTATCCCTAATAATTGTTGCATATATAGTCAAAAAATAAAATAATTGTTGCATATGTAATAAGGTTAAGAAATTCTTATGTACTAAGGAATATTATAATATATCTATTTCATTTTAGTTTCATAAATTTTAGGTCTCGTCCGGCTGTCAGCCTGTCACAAATACGTTCTATTGAGTAAATAATATGAGTTATTAATAATATATCCGGCTGACAACATTTCAACAAATTTAAGCGTACAATAAAAGCCGAAGCTCACAGTTAAATACTACTCCCTATGTTCCACAATAACTGTCTCTTTTTAAAAAAATATTTTTGTTCCATATTATCTGTCACTTTAGATTTTCAATACTGCATTAAATGCAATTTTTCATGTTTTAACCTTATTAATTCAACTATAAGTATTAACTCTCTATTATCACATTATTAAATAATCAAGGTTATTTTAGTCTTTCTAATATATTTTACCTAAAATCAAGACACATTTATTGAGCTTCTTAATTCTTGTGCAAAGCCAAAAACGACACTTAATAGGGAACGGAGGGAATAATATGTTATAAAATTCGATGCATCCTACCTTTTGTTATTATATTTTGTGGGTAGTTTTAAAAAAGGAAAGAAGAAGAAGATAATTTTTATCTTTAAAAATTATATAAATTAATTAAAATATATTGTTAAATTATGAAAGGTTGAAATTTATTGAAAAATGGAACATCTTATTAGTTTAATAATTTATGTCAATAGAGAATAAATATAATCTTATATATAAAAGAAAGAAACGCTAGGGCAACCCTAAGAAACCCTAATGTCATATTTGTAATTTTTTTTCAATTTTTATCAAATTTTTATCTCCTTAATATTATTTTAAATATTATTTTCGAATTTTATCATATTTGTATCCCCTAAATATTATTTTAAATATTATTTGTTATTTTTATCAGATTTTTGTCTCCTAAATATTATTTTTTATTTTTATCAAATTTTTATCTCCTAAATATTATTATAAATAATATTTTTTTAATTTTATCAAATTTATATCTCCTAACTATAATTTTAAATATAATTTTTAACTTTTTTCTGAGACACCTAACTTAATCAAACTATTAATTGGAAAGGATCTTATATGCGCTAAAAATTATTTATGTAGAAACATACATAAACATCTTTATAATACAATTCATCCGTTTGGTCAATATACGCTTGAAGCAATCAAGGAAACCTATATGGTTCAATATAATACCAATGAGTGGTATGAATGTGGAATTGGAGTTATTACGGAATGATTTTAATCATATTTTATCTCCTAAATATTATTCTAATTATTATTTTCATATTTTATCAACTTTTATCTCATTAACATTATTTGAAATATTATTTTCGATTTTTTATCAAATTTTTATCTCCTAACTATTATTTTAAATTTTATTTTCGATTTTTATCAGATTTTTATATCCTAAATATTATTTTTTGATTTTTTTATCAAATTTTTATCTCCTAAATATTATTTTAAATATTATTATCGATTTTCATCAAATTCTCCTAGATATTATTTATAATAATCTGATTTTTGATTTTTACAGAAAAGGGTAAATAAATCTGATTTTCATCCCTAGCGGATTTTGTGACATCGTTTTACAGAATGTCTGCAACATTTGAATTTTATTTCTTCCCTACCTAAGGCTTCTTCTTTTGGTAACCCGAGTTTAGATTTTGTTTCTTATCTTCTTCTTCATCCTATTGACAGTGTGGCAATTAGTTTACATCTTTTTCCATCATGGCTTATAGGTAATTTCATTTTGTTAAATTATGTGTTTCATTAATTTATACCAAAGTTTTCAAATTTTATGTATAACAATTATTTCATTTTATATGTTATTGGACATGTTATTAAAAGGGATGATTTGAGAAAATTAACCAAAAATGGGCGGAGCCACAAGCTATTGGAAGTCGACCTTCAAGACTTATTGTTTGTATGCGATATTTAATTTATTGTTTGTATTTATTTTTGTTTCTTAATTTTCCAATTGTTAATTCCCGTGGCAAAACAGCCTTAAAATGAGGCAGTGGAGAAGGGCTTAGTTCCGATGCAAGATGTATAGATGGCCTTTTACGATGGTATGTTGTCGATAGTTTAGTTTTGATTATGTTAACTTAGTTATTAAATCTAATTACTTTTAAGCTCAACATGAAAGACATAATTGATGATTTTTTTCCTGGTTTAAATTTTCAATCTACTGGTATTAGCTGATTCAATTCATTTAGAAATTTATTCAACAGTAAAGTTATGTCCTTTTTTTTTGTGTGTAGTATACTTAATAATGTTCCAGTATAATAGAATTTTGATCATACGATACATCAAACGTTTGTTTATATTCTTACAACATCAAAACAATGCAATTTGTTGTCCCGTGCATCGCACGGGTACAATTACTAGTTTAGTATAATCCAAATTAATTCGATTTATTTAACTCAATAGTATAATTTAATTATTTGGTACAAAAATCGAATTATTAGGCCCAATAGAAAATCGAGTATAATTTAATTCTTTAGATTTATGTTTTTATAAATTATTAGGCCCAATGGGAACTCGGCCCACGTAAATAAAAAACCGGAAACAGTCTTATGATGTTTCAGTGGGTCTAACAGCCGAGTTGTGGATTATGTTTCTCCACAAAACCACCAACCAAACACCCGAAAAAACCCCCAATTAAAAGCATCCGTACAACCAGCTCGTGAGGGTAAAAACGTCAATTCCTGTGTACTCGCCTACAGGCTATACTCTGTTTTCTGGGCTCTCTCTCTCTCTCTCCCTGAGATTGCTGGAGTTTTTTGGTTTCTGATACCGGAGACGACGTCGTAATCATATCCAATTAGGGTTTTCTTCCTCGCGATCCCCGTTAAATATTCATGTCCTGATCTGCGAAGCAATCATGTTATCTCGAATCGGACGTTGTCTTAATCAATCGTCTCGTGCCTCGCTGAATAAAGTAAACTATATGAATAGTAATTTCCATATTCACATCATATTGACGTTTTTAGGGTTTTTGTGTTTTTAAAGTTTTGCCAAATTTATCCTTGCTGGCAGGGAGGTTTTCCGGGCAGTTATGGAGTGCGGTCGGCGATTCTGACCGAATTTTATACGGGAAATGCGTTGACCAAGTCTGAAAATGGCGGGTTGGGGCTTTTGAGGAGCTATTTGACGTCGATTGGAGCTTGTAAACAGGTTACGAAGAGTCATGTCCTGGAGGAATTTCACTCGGTTATGGCGAGCCCTAGGCTTCGGAGGCTGTTTTGCAGCCAGGCCCCTAAGAAAAAAAGTAATCACAATTATGCTTTTTTTTTTTTAAGAACACTGTGTTGTCTAGTTAGTTTTGTTGTTGTTTCTGGGTATGTGATTTTGTGCAAGTATTTACACTTCTCATTGTTGCTGCCATATGGTGCTTGTAGGTTATGAAAAGTATTATGTAAAGAACAAGTCTGAAATTCCAAAAGGAAACAATCAGAAGTCTGAGGGTAAAGGTAATGGACCTCTCCACATTTTGTATTTTAGGGCTTTCCCTTTTGTTTTGAGCCTTGTTTTCAAGTTCAGTTGTGTTTCGCCCTTTTTTTTTCTGAAAACGGAACGTAGTAGAACTTATTAACATATACTATTTAATTTTGTTGAGTTTAAAGGATGTAAGTAACATTGCTGTTTCGCCCTTTCAGTACTGAAATTTCCACGTTTCCTTATTTTAATCTTTCCGAGTGCAGAGGAATCTGGATCAGGTGGACAATGGAATAAGACAGAAACCACTATACAATTTAATTTTCTTACACCCCTTTTGCTGCTTGGGTTTGTGCTTATGTCAATGTATATGACTCCTGGTGGTGACCAGAAACAGGTGAGTTACTTCCCCTATTTTGGAACAACAACACGAGGCCACCAGGAATCACCTTCCTGCCGCTTTTTCTTTATTTTTTGCAGTTTTGATGTGATTTCCGGATTTTTTTTCCTGAACTACCGATATTATTTGACAACTTTGAGAAGATTAGCATGATTTATGTGTTCACGTATTGCAAAAAGATACCAGCTCACTGCCCCATACATTAGCCATGTATGTCCAATGAACAAGACTTAGGTGAGGACTAGCGTTATAGAAGAATGTGCTATCTACCAGTCATTCATAATAGATGCCCGTTATACGAATTTTGATGTATATTTAACCTATAACCATCATTTCTAAGTATCATTGTTCATGATATAACATGAAACAGAATTAACAGTTATCCTTTGAGAAATCGTTTGAGTCTTAGGTATGATTTCATTGAGTTAATTTTTGCAGTTTGAAAGACCGTCTGTTCCTTTTTTCCCCTCTAGTTTTTTTCCCTTCAACCTACGATGCTTGTATGAGTTTCACTTAGTGTTTTGCGCTCCCACATTCTAGACAGACAATTAATAAGGTATAAAGTCATTTGCAAGAAAAAAGAAAATATGAAATTGGTAATGGGTTAGAAAGATGTTGTATGTCTCCTGTCTTATTAATGTGATTGGGGCTGGGAATTTTCGTCATGCTTCTGTTTCCAACTTGCTGCTTGCTTATGAGGCTTGTCCCCACGGGGCCTTTTTCTTTTCTTTTTATGTTGCTATTTTGATGGTAAGAAGAAATTGTTTTGAAGTTCCTTTTTCTGCTGATGGTTTCCTCATCCCATGATGCATGTTCCATGTTTGATATTTGTGATAATTCCTGTCGTATTATATGGTTAATGTATTCTGTATTTTTATTCCAGATAAGTTTTCAAGAATTCAAGAACAAGCTACTTGAACCTGGACTTGTGGATCACATTGTTATTTCAAACAGATCTGTCGCAAAAGTATATGTACGGAGTTCACCACCTAATGGTAGTCAAACCACAACTGACACTGCTGGTGATATCAATACGAGAAGAAACGTGAGCCGTTATAAATACTATTTTAACATTGGAAGTGTTGATTCATTCGAGGAGAAGTTGGATGAAGCCCAGGAAGCATTAGGAATTGACTCTCATAATTACGTCCCAGTTACTTATGTTTCTGACATGAATTGGTTCCAAGAATTCATGAAGTTTGGTCCAACGTTATTGCTTTTAGCTTTTATTGTTTTCATGGCAAGGAGAAGTGGACTTGGTATCGGAGGTGCTGGTGGGAAGGGTGGCCGTGGAATTTTCAATATTGGGAAAGCACAAATCACAAAACTGGATAAAAATTCCAAGGACAAGGTGAACACGATTTTTTTTGATCTGTTAGCTTTTTATTATCTATTAGTTTCATCATTAGTTTGAGCTAAACAGTTATTGTTTAATTGCTGATTAGGTTTTCTTTAAAGATGTAGCTGGTTGTGATGAGGCGAAACAAGAGATCATGGAGTTTGTGCACTTCCTACAGAATCCCAAAAAGTACGAGGCGCTAGGCGCAAAAATTCCAAAAGGTGCTCTTCTTGTGGGTCCACCTGGGACAGGGAAGACACTTCTCGCCAAAGCAACTGCAGGAGAATCTGGTGTGCCTTTTCTTTCCATATCCGGTTCAGATTTCATGGAAATGTTTGTTGGAGTTGGACCATCCAGGGTTCGGAGTTTATTTCAAGAGGCTAGACAGTGTGCACCGAGTATAATATTCATTGATGAAATAGATGCAATAGGCCGAGCAAGAGGTCGAGGCGGATTCTCTGGAGGTAATGACGAGCGTGAAAGTACATTGAATCAGTTACTTGTGGAGATGGATGGGTTTGGAACCACTGCAGGCGTTGTTGTGCTAGCTGGCACAAATCGGCCCGATATTTTGGACAAAGCTTTATTAAGGCCCGGAAGGTTTGATCGCCAAATTACGATCGATAAGCCCGACATTAAGGGCCGTGATCAGATACTCCGTATCTATCTGAGTAAATTGAAACTTGATCAAGAGCCGGCGTTTTACTCCCAGAGGCTTGCTGCTCTTACTCCTGGATTTGCTGGTGCTGACATTGCTAATGTATGCAATGAAGCTGCTTTGATAGCTGCAAGGACTGAGAGTAAGCTGATTACAATGCAACATTTTGAGGCAGCTATTGATCGTGTTATTGGGGGTCTTGAGAAGAAAAACAGGGTATTCTTCTGTTATTTCCTTCTAATGATTTCCGTTCTTTATGTAATTTTTGTAGCTTGATCTTGGTTTAAGCTGCTGGTATTATGTTCTGACTACATTTATCGGGAAACTATTGATTTACTTAGGTTATTAGCAAGCTGGAGCGTCGAACGGTTGCTTACCATGAATCTGGGCATGCTGTTGCTGGCTGGTTTCTAGAACATGCCGAACCGTTGCTTAAAGTTACAATTGTGCCTCGTGGAACTGCAGCTCTTGGCTTTGCCCAGTATGTTCCAAATGAAAATCTTTTGATGACCAAAGAACAACTTTTTGATATGACTTGTATGACTCTTGGCGGTCGTGCAGCCGAGCAGGTTTGAAATTCTGAATTTTATACCCAAGAAAAGTACTTTCTTCATACATGGAGATCTCCTGAATAAGTATCATCAATTCTTGTTCTTTTTGGAAATAGGTTTTGCTGGGAAAGATATCAACGGGGGCGCAAAACGATCTGGAGAAGGTGACGAAAATGACATACGCCCAAGTTGCAGTTTACGGGTTCAGTGAAAAAGTGGGCCTTCTCTCTTTCCCCCAAAAGGAAGATGGGTTTGAAATGAGCAAACCCTACAGCAGCAAAACAGCTGCAATAATCGACACCGAAGTAAGAGAATGGGTGGGTAAAGCATACGCACGAACAATCCAGCTAATAGAGGAGCACAAAGACCACATTTCCCAGATTGCAGAGTTGTTGTTGGAGAAAGAGGTTCTTCACCAAGATGACTTGGTTCGAGTTTTGGGGGAGAGGCCATTTACGAGTAGTGAGCCGACTAATTACGACAGGTTTAAGAAAGGGTTTATTGAAGATGATAATGGAAAAAGTGGATCAAATGGTAATACTACCACCAAAGGTAAAAAAATTGACGATGGGCCTTTACCTTTAGCGCCGGAGGTGGTTCCAGTTTAATCAATTTGGTTAATTGGTCATTATAATAATTTGTAAATCACTGCTTTTGATAATCTGATGGTTTTTTTTTTTTTGAGCTATCGATCGAAATGTTATGAGGTTGTGGCGCTCCCTATGCTTGTAATAGCTAAGTTTCTACAATTCGGTTGGTTGGGACTGTCGTTAATGATTTACCGCGGACTTTCACTGATATCGAAGTCACTAATTACGGAACGAGACATTTTACGATGTTTTGTGACTTTTAGTCTTTGTTTAGAGATACCTTCCTCGAGAATTTGAAGAGTCTTGAATGTGGATATACCAGGTTTGGGAGTTTGTTCTATGCAACATCGACAATATTTTACACACATTTACATGTATATAAGTGTGTAAATCAAAAATGAAATAAAGTTAGAGGTGTAACATCTAAAAAGATCTCCAGAGGTGTAGGAGGTGCCACGTCAGATCATATTTATTACCACATAAAATACATGTAAACATATTATTGATTTACCAGTTCACCAATTATTGGACCTTATTTGTGTGGTTGATGGAATTAGTGGCTGATAGTAGGAGGAAACTCCATTGTCAAGAATCCTATGAAAAAACACATGGTGCACACAAATTATTATTATTATTATTATTATTATTATTATTTTTAATAAATTAAATTTAGCTTCACCAATCAACAAGTTACCAACTAACAAAATAAAGAAAGATTTAATTTTTTTAATATTTATTGGAAATATTTCCTTCAATAATTAGGATCATGCATGTATGTAACACGTGGATGAATGGATAAGCTAAAGAAATTGTACTCAGTAAACAAAGCAAGGGGTCTTCGCCATCAATAATTGTTTGAAAGATATACAATTTTATTTATTTATTTTTATTTAATTATGAATTAAGGTGCATTATTGATTACAAGCTTCCAAAATTGCATCTTCCACTTCAAATGGCAACTCACACTCAATCATCAATTATGATAAGATCTAACATCCACAAGAATTAGACTTCACCTTAGTTTGTTCCACCATTTATAGCCGATTCGACTCGCATCACAAAGATCGAGCCAACTCGAACGATCGAGATCGTGATCTGAAACCAATGCTTTCGATTTTTTTTATTTTTTTTATATATATAATAGAGGACTTTCGATATCAATGTAAGTCACTTTCATGAGAACATTTACTACATATATAGTTTATAATTATAACCTATACTTTAGGGCTAAATAAATAAACAAGCAATATATACTTAAAAAATGAGGGATGGCATAATTAGTAATTTACATCCCCTTCAAGTTGTAGCTGTCAAACAAACAATATTAAGAATCTACGTTGTTGTAGCTTTCATGTTAAAACAACCTCAACAACTGTACAAATTATTTTCACACAATTACAAATTAGTACGTGATTTAAAATAGAAAAAAATGTTTAAATTAAATTTTGACCCCAAAAACTGATTAAATTGGCCTTTCAAGTGTATCGACTATTTTTAGTATTTATAATTCAGCGTGATTCCGAGTCTATGAGAGGCTACACCTGATGCAACACATCAGTTTGTTTTAAACAATAAATAACTACCCGCTAAACACAAATACACACGAGTGTATGTTATTATGAGTAGATCAATGATTCAAGATTATTCTGTGTATTTCATCGGGTGTAGCATCGCACCCATAAATTAGGGAATATTAAAATCAAATAATATTTGTGTCACGGTCTAAGGCTAGTTATTCAACCAGCCATCAAGGAGGTGCAAATAATTGAAATGTTTAACAATTTTGATACGACTAAACAAGGGTCTTCTTTTGTTACTTCTAAATAATTATTATTATTTTGGCTAAGTCTATTAAATCGTATGTATCCAAATTATTGTGCTCCGTTCATTAAAAAAATTAATTGACTTAATTAATTTGTATAGCAAATTGCATGTGTTCACACACACAACCACCATCTAAGGGGGCATAATTTCAGTGGTCAAAATTGTACTAATTTAACAATTCGAAGGAAAGTTTTAATATTGTAAATAAGAAGGAATCTAATTAGTTTAATAATGTAATTAGTGCAATAAATTATACTACTTAACATGTACCATCTTCTTCTTGGCAAGTTCATGAAAATTTACAATTCAATTAAGTGTTTGTTGGCCAAACAAAGACTTGCACCAAAGGAACTCTACACACTTTATAGCTGGAAAAGTAGTTGTTACACATGATTTTTGGTTATTTTTCTAAATCTGTTTTATTTATAATTAAAAAAAAATCTTTGGTAATGATTCGGACAGGTCAACAAATCAAAGTTGTAAGATATTTAGGTAATTTAATACAAATCATGTGAATTTCAAAGTTTAAAAATCAGGAATCTTAATAATGAAGAACAAAATATTTGTACCATGATAATGTTGTTCAAGATTCGGAAGGACAATAGGTACTACATTAGTACCATATTCTCATATTTGTCTTACATAATATATTGTGTATGTGTATATTGACGCAAGATGCTCGAGCTGGAAATCAGACGAAATGGATCGGAAATGGCCTTTTTTCAGAAAACTTCCAATTTTGTTACGAAAGTAAAACAATGGGTCCCAATTTTTCGTTCCAAAAAAATCGGAATGCAAAAATTAATTCGTCTTCGGAATGTAAATTGGCGGAGTTCAGAGATTTCATTTCGATTTCCACCGCTACATATTTTGTATGATGTCAAAACCAGGGTTTCACACACAGTAAAAAAAATAAAAAAATATGTCAATTTAATTTATGTCCTACTTGACAACATTTTCTATTAGTGTACAGCTTTTCTGGTATTCATTAAATCTGGAATTATGTGAAATATCTACATCAATTACGATTAATTTATTATTACAACAGACAGTCCAATTCTTTGGA